GAGAGAGAGAGAGAGAGAGAGAGAGAGAGAGAGAGAGAGAGAGAGAGAGAGAGAGGGAGAGAGAGAGGGAGAAAGGGAGGGAGAGAGGGAGGGAGAGAGAGGGAGAGAGGGAGAGAGAGAGAGAGGGAGAAAGGGAGGGAGAGAGAGAGGGAGGGAGGGAGAGAGAGAAAGAGAGAGAGAGAGAAAGGAAGGGAGAGAGGGGGAGGGAGAGAGAGAGAGAGGGAGAGTGAGAGAGGAAGACAGAGAGAGAGACAAAAGGAGATAAGATCTGATAATAAAAGAACTTTAAACTTTACAACATGACCTAATACTAACATTAACTAACACTTGATATATATGTACATGTACACATACATGTATCATGTATGTAATAAATGATTTAAGAAAGTCTTTCATGATTAGTGCTTGTGGTAAGGTACAGGAAACCAGCTAAAGGAAGAGAATATGAGTGTGTGTGTATGTGACTCACGACTCTTTGAGCTACAAGTGTTGTCATACATGTGGTTTTACCAAACAATGACATCATTATAATTATAATTATAACACGCTCATTCCTATACCGCCCGCCTCATTCCCATACTGCCCGTTTTCATACTTATACTACTAAACACAAAATGTACGTACAAAACAAGAAAAAAATGAATATTATAATGAGCTAAAAATAATCCCGAACCCACTCGGTCTCATTCTAATACCACCTGATCTCATTCCCAGTCTACCCAAACCCATTCCTATGCATTATAATATTCATTACATCTTTTAACGTACCCAAGGTAAGTCTGTATGTCTATTAATAAACAAATGGAGGAGCCAGGGACACGGAAAGAGAGAGAAAAGTCAAATCCAAGTTCTCCATTAGTTGACCACGCCCATCAACGTGGAGCAGCATTTGACCACGCCTATTTGAATTAAGAAGCGATTGATAACTATTAATAACTTGTTATCATCATGGCGACGTGTTGCATAGCTCCATCATGACAGCATCACTATCTTTATTCATGAGAAGGCTACTCTTCCTTAGCCTGATACTGCAGTATCTACTCCACCATTGCAATGGGCTTATACGGCGAGATACTAGATCTAGTAAGTACTGGTAATCTACATTCAACAGTTAACACTGCATTCACTGTATGCTGCAGATGATAGTGAAATCTTGCCAAGGTCACCTAGTCCAATAACTTCAATGCAATGGAGAATACAAGAAGAGAGGCTTTATCTCAGATGGATTGAGAACAGTACTGCTAGTGGACTCATGAATGATGCTATGATGCGTCATTATATTCATATACACAGAATGGTTTTGTTTCATAATACATACGTGCCAAGTGATGACTCACCCACTACTGTCATTAGAACATTAAGAGGCTCTCGATCAGCTCAAATAACTGGCCTAAGACCAAAGAGCATTTACCAAATAAAAGTAACAAAAAATAATAACAACAATAATAATTATTTTTATTAATACTAACGATACTTTTATAGATGGTAACGTTATCAAGATCAGAAACATTATCAAGCAAACCAATACGCATTAATACAGGACAATTAGGTACAATTATTGATTTATACTAGTTAACTAATAATATTTATTAATTACCAGAGTTCTTACGTGCATACAATTTGACTGTTTCAAAAGTTAAGGATACCAGTGCAGTATTCATATGGTATTATGAGCCACCTTTTGTATATGAAATCAGTTTTAAGGTTTAGCAATAAAAATAATAATAATAATAATAATAACAATAATATTGTATGTTTCAGTTGGAATGTACTGGAGTTCAGTTATATAAAGATGCTGTTAAAGTTACTAAACCAGTGATCAGATTCACATATGAAGCACTCCCTACAACAAAAGGACAGTGTTCCTATTATTCAACAACCCTCCAGCCTAATACAATGTATCATTGTCATTTATTAACAGTAGCTGACAGCAGTATCAGCAGCCAGCCTTACAGTCAAGTACAGTTTTCAACATCAATTGGAAGTAAGTTAAAACCACAAAGTATACGCATGTGCATAAACAAAGGTATATATGCATGTATATATGTATACTATTATGCATTCAAAGTCATGAACATAATGTCCATTTTAATAATTACTAAACTGATTATTTCATAGGGCCATCTGCTCCACCTATGCCAGTAATTGTAACAGATGCTAAACATAAATATGATTTTAGTGTCAAATTATTTAAATCAAGTCTTAAATATGGACCAATAAGGTATAGGATAATGACACGTTAATACTATAACAATCTGCTCTTGATACTAACACACTGCACTAACAGTCATTATACAGTGTATGCTGTCCCAGTTACACGTTCCAGTGGGTCCTCATTGAATCATCCATTCACTCCAGTAGTGCCTTACAATGCACTGATGCATAAATCAGTAACAATGCACTTAGCATCAGAAGTATCAACAAGATTACCATTCATGATTGGACTCTATGGAAATGAGACTTTACCAAATGAGCTGTATTTTGAAGGAGAAGATATAAAAAGAACTGGAGCATTCAAGGAAAATGAATACTACACATTTATTGTATTTGCTTTTACTAAAATAAAGGTAATTACATGTACATTCATAACAAATGGATGATTCCTTTTTTGTTATACAATAAATTCTGATACATATCTAATCAAAATTGGGTTTTATGAAATTGAAAGTTGCTCAAAAATCAGACCAAAAAGTCCAAATTTTGCCAAAAATGACTAGGAAGAAATCCTCCATTTTTATTATTTTTCTGATGCTTATACATGTACTTAAGTTGTGTAGAAAGTTTGAGCTGGTTCCGTTTAAAATTGGATTTTTTATGAACTTTTAAAGTTGCTCGAAAATTGGACCAAAGTCCCTATACTTTAGTACAGGAACTTTGTAAAGATTCCTTGTAGGAAGCCTCGTTGTAGGATTTGTTATAGGAATTTCTCCTTGTAGGATTCTAATGGAACTGCATTATACTCAATGAGTTTACCTGCCAACCCACCAATACACATTGGTTAGTAGTATACTAGTAGATACAGTAATGCTTTATCTTGTGTGGATGTGTAGAGTATAGTGAAGATGATATTTGGATAGAAGAAAAGAAACCAACCATAAAACACTTTGTGTTCATTACACTGTACACTATACTCTCAATAACTGGTATCCTAATAGGAACATTGCTTCTTATATGCTGCATATTAATAAACAACAGATACTGGACTTTTGGTAAAATGTAAGACACAAAGTACATACCGTAGGGTGTCTTTTCTGAGGGCTATATAATTATTTCATGGATTTTGTTGCTATTTGCAAAAATAAATTTCCTGAATTAATTGTTTATGGATGTGGAAAATTCGAATTCAGGATAAAATTGCAAAATTTAATACAGCAAAGTATACATGTATATTCGCTAAATCTATAGCTCTCAAAAAAAGTGCCCTATGGTATACATGTACTGTACATTACTACTTGTATAGAAAAAGAAAATATAAAAAACTAACCAACAAAGAGAGCGAAGAGGAGGAGGAGGAGGAAGTGACCATATTCATGAACTCATTTATAGTAAAAAAATAATAATAAAATGAATAAAATAATTAATTGAATTTTATGTCCTTCAGGATACTCTGAAATCAGAGACAAAGAGAGCCACAAAACCTAGAGGTCATGGATCATTGAGACTAGAAGAATTAAAATTACTTGCACACGAGGAGGTTAATTAAACAACAACATGTACCTTTATCATTGATTAATAATTCTTTATAATTGTAGAATGATGAAGATTACAGACCTGATTTATTTTCAATAGTGACACCTCCAGATTCGCCTGTTGCTGTTAACAAACCAACATCTCCATTGGTAACACACGCAATAATTAACGAAACTAATAACGAACAATGTAACAATGAGAGGAAAGGGCAAATTGATACCGAATACAATGACAGCAAAGCTACATGTACCAAATCAAGTAGCTACATCAATAGCTCAGTGGCAGCTCATGTTAATTGCAGTGATGACGGAATGATGACTGCAGGTACATTCAAGCTACCAAGAGCAATAAAATATGTGCCACCCACTTCAGCCATGAACAGTCAGCAGTATTACAAGACACACACACCTGGGACACCTCTAAGGAGAATGCCTGAACCAGTACCAATCAGTAAAGAGCCGTCTAGACTGAGTCGGGAAGTATCCAAAGCATCTATATTGAGTGAAGACGTGTCAAAAGAAATAACTGGAGATCCGTCCATTAGCAGAGAGCCTTCCCAAGATGTAGGAGTGATAATAAATGATCCATCGATTAGCAAGGAGTCCTCTAGTGACCCGTTTGATGACCCGTCCATTAGTAGAGAAGCGTCTTCCAAGGAAATGGAAGGAGTTAGTAACGGAGGGATTAGAATACAAATCATTAATCCGGACAATGAAATTGAAGAGCTAATTGATACTGGAATCAAAATGAATGACAGAATGGAATCAGAAAATGCGAATCGTCCAGGAATAGGAACAAATCCTGAAGAAATAGTAACAAATCTTATTGATTGGTGAACAAAGATAAAATGACAATAATAATAATAACAGTAACAATAAAATGATAATGATTGTAGTAATGAATATATAATTAGCTAAGTACGACTTTAATGTTTTCTAATAGTTTGATGATGTCACTTAACAATAAATCAGTGTTAATATCAGAATCAGTGTTAACATCAGAATCAGCATTAATATCAGTATCAATATCAATATCACTGATACTTAACTCGTAAAGTCTTTTATACTGTGAAATAGTACAGGAAGCACTATCATCTTGAACACTAACAAAAATAACAAAATAAAACTCATAAAACCAAAAATAATTAACAATACCTTGTTGTTCTCTTCATTGAGAGTGTCAACAGCTGTTTACAGATTGTTCTAAGTCTTTGCACAATAATCACCAATAGCTGCTTCAATGACCCTAACACTGAGCATGAACTAGTACTTGTATCATTAGAGGAGAGTTTTAGTAAGACTTGTAATGGACTGATTGCTAATAGTATGTCATCCAGTGATTGGTGTAATAATTTAATGGAGTGATTACCACTGGATACTAGTAAATAAATTAATAATAATAATAATAATAATCTTTTTTGTATTTTTCTCTTACTATTTGCGTGTTGTTCATACAGTAATGATCTTTCCCAATAAACTCTTAGTATTTGTAATGAATGGTCATTTACCTAATAAGGAGAGAGAGAGGGGGATGGAGTAATGAAGGAATTAGAGCGTGTGGTAATTGGCATACTATAAAACTGTTGATTGATTTTGAATAATGTCTCTCTGATTGAGTCCTAGCTGTTCGCTGTCTTTGAGTTGAAAACTAAAAATAAAAATACAATAAATTATAAATAAATAAATAAATAAATAAACAAACAAACAAATAAAATAAATAAAGTAAAAATTTACAATAAAATATGTAGATAAATAATAAAAAAAACAATAAATAAATAAATAAAACTGCTCCGTTTCCTTACAGCTGGGTCAAAGGCTACTTTATGATAAAGGCTGCCCAGTTGTTGATGGGTGGTTCCAATGATGCCAGAAACACTAACATGATGACTAGAACCAGGTGGGACATTGCCAGCTACTGACTCAGCAAAATGTATAGCCTTCATGAACAGTGAGACAATATCTCGTTCCACCTGGAGAGAAAGAGAGAGGGTGTAATTAAAATTATTATTATAAAAATTACTATTATTATTATTATTATTATTATTATTATTATTATTATTATTATTAGTGGCGTAAGAGATAAAACACTAGGGACAGTATAAAAAGGAGAAACAGAAAAGAAGAAAACAAAAATAATTATATAATTATAACAATAAATAAACAAACAAAAATTAGTATTTTTATTAAAATATATACTATCATCATCATCAATGCAGTACGTACCTCTTGCACAGACACTCTACTCAATGGAGGTCTGTCTTGTATGGCGCGTCCAAATTCATAATAAACGTTACACAGGTCCATTTCAATGTTGAGCCATATTGTAGGATGGTTTGACAATCTCTTCAATAACGCTTTACCTTTATTGTAATAGTCTATAGATCTATTGTAATGGCTCCTCTCCTCCAGACTAAACTCTGCCCCTCCTCCCTCCTTTGCTTGTTTCTGATGTTCAATGGCCGCCAGTACTCTACTAAGACTGCCTAGGTTAGCGTTCAATAGTGACTGGTTAGGTACACTGCCTGTCTCCTTAAACAAAGTCAGTCCTTTAGTGATACACTTGTAACTTTCATCACATAATGAGGTTTTAGCACTATAGTCTGGAGAAAGAAGGAATCATCATTAAAATTATTATTATTAATTATATTATTATTATTATTATTATTATTATTATTATTATTATTATTATAACAAAGCACTAGTACATAGACATAAGTAGAACAAAAGTATTATATAGTTATTATTTATTGGTGGGCTAACCTTGTTCGGTTCCAGTTGCTGCTGTGTGTTTGTAATAAACTCCTAGCTCGTTCCAAGCATTACCTAACCTCTCCTTCAATTTATTATTATTAGTTGAGGCTCCTCCCACTGACTTGCATACATTGTAACATTCAATACTAATAATAATAATAATAATAATAAAGATAAATAAATAAATTGATGTACCTCATTTTAAGGCTGGTTTCAATATCAACATGTAACTGAAGGTAATCATCTTCTTCAACTGAGAGAGAGAGAGAGAGGGAGAGAGAGAGAGGGAGTACATTAAAATAAAATGGAGTGACATGCATTTATTCATTACCTGATGGGTTGTATAAAGATGATAAAAATGTTTTAATTTTACAATCAATCGAATCAAACATGTTAAAATCATTAATATATCTACTTAAAGAGCTGGAAGCCTAAAACAACAACAACAACAATAAACAACAAAAAATGATAAACAAAAATTACTTTAGTACTTAATACATGTACATCGCCACACAGTTGCCATGACGACCCCAACATGTTCTTCATCAATTTAATTTGTTTCTTATCCTTGGACAAAGCAAGTGATACCTCTAATTAATTAAAATAGTTAATTAACCAACAATACTTAATTAATATATTAGTTAATTTAAAATAGTTAATTAACAGTACTTAATCAATAGTAGTAATAGTTAACTAATAACAATTAATTGATTAATAATGGTTAATTTATTAATAACAGTTAATTATTTTTAATGGTTAATTAACTTACTGAAACACAGTACAGCTAGCCTGGCCCACCTCAAGCACTGTCCCAGTTCACTGTCAGCCATTGCTCCTTCTGACAGCTTCCAGTAAGCATTACCTGCTGTTAGTAGCAGCTGTGAGGTACCAGTCACCCTCCAGTTATCAACAATACATAATGGATTCAATCCCTCTAATGCTTTACTGACATAAGTTAAAGATATTTTTAAACTATTAGTCGCGTCTGGAATAGATCCTGTTCCATCAGCAGGACCAGTCATTAATGGATCAATATTGTGAATTAGACTGGACACTGCAAGTGACTATAAATGAGAGAATTATTATAATAAGAAGCATTAATCATGTACAAGAAAGTTTATCTGTTATAAAAGGCATCCTTTAGGTGGAGACTATTTTATACAGTAAGGAATGTAATTGGTACACTAGGTGCTGTCCATTAAATGGAGGTGTACGCTATAAAGAGAGTGCCCATTAAAAGAGGTTATAGATGTACTTTATACATGTACATTTAATTCACTCAAGCCCCTCCCTTTCCTGCCCCGCCCCCTTACCGATATATACGGTTCATTAGTTATTAATTGAGATTCATGGGATTCATCATCATCTTCACTACCAGTGGGCTCCTCCTCTAATAATGGAGGGGTGTGGCTTAAAAACATATCAGCCAGTAAAAAATAGGAGGACATCACAATCTAAAAATGAAATTGTACATGGTAATCATTTTCTGAAACTCCGATACTTATTTTGGGCATCAAAATTGAATTTTCAAAGGTACATTGTGTATTCTAGGCCAGAGTAACTGTACTATAGTACAGGGTCAATGGCCAAATTTCGCCAAAAATGACTAGGAGAGAATTCTCTATTTTTATTACATTTTCTGATGCATATACATGTACTTATGTAGTGTAGAAAGTTTGAGTTAATTCCGATCAAAATTAGATTTTCTACAAATTTTTACAGTTGCTTCAAAATTGGGCCAAAGTCCCTGTACTATAGTACAGGGTCATTGGCCAAATTTCGCCAAAAATGACTAAGAGAGAATTCTCCATTTTTATTACATTTTCTGATGCATATACATGTACTTGTGTTGCGTAGAAAGTTTGAGTTGATTCTGATCAAAATTAACTTTTTTGTGAATTTTTAAAGTTGCTCCAAAATTGGGTCAAAGTCCCTGTACTATAGTACAGGGTCATTGGCCAAATTTCACCAAAAATGATTAGGAGAAAATTCTCTATTTTTATTACATTTTCTGATGCATATACATGTACTTATGTTGTGTGGAAAGTTTGAGTTGATTCCGATCAAAATTAGATTTTTTACGAACTTTTATAGTTGCTCCAAAATCAGGCCAAAGTCCCTGTACTATAGTACAGGGTCAATGGCCAAATTTCGCCAAAAATGACTAGGAGAGAATTCTCTATTTTTATTACATTTTCTGATGCATATACATGTACTTGTGTTGTGTAGAAAGTTTGAGTTGATTCCGATCAAAATTAGATTTTTTACGAATTTTTAAAGTTGCTCCAAAATCAGGCCAAAGTCCCTGTACTATAGTACAGGGTCATTGGCCAAATTTTGCCAAAAATGACTAGAATGGAATTTTAAATTTCAATACATTTTAATAATTGATAGAAATAATTACCTGTGAGTTAAGGTCATTGTGCAGTAATTTGATACAATTCTCTAATAATATTTTTATATTATTTAATTCTTTTTTATTGTCACATGCTCCATACTGCAGCATCCTTTGAGAGACTCTAATTAGAACAACAACAACAACAACAAAAACAACAACAGGAATAATAATAATAATAATAATAATAAATTACCTATAGAATAACGTAGCGACACTTTTAGCAAATGGATTTTCAATTGCTTCCGTTTCCTAAACAATTGACCACACCCACTAATTAATGAAAGACCACACCCATCAGTACCTTACTGCTGGAGGTCAAAGTCGTGAGGTCGTACAGTTTAACGAGATCCTCTCCTTTAGGGCGGAACAGCCAATAGGTGTGGCCTTCCTTTGTACAATTACTCTTTAAAAATGATAAAATGTTTTCAGCAACTTTAAGGACCTCCTACAGTTAATTAATTAATTATAGTAAATTAATTATTACTTAATAATTGAAACTTGCTTGAGGTGAAAATTGACAGTTTTTATCAAGTTTTGGAATGTCTTCAGTTTTAATTACATCAAATTTCTAAATAATATCAATAATAATTAATTCATTAATAGTTATTAGAGTTACCTGTACTATACCATCCACATGGTAGCACATGGCCAATTCTGGTACATTACACATTAAGTTGTCCAACCAGTAATCCAAACCTGTTAATACTGTTATCGGCTTATCCATATCTCTAAAAAATAAATTTAACTATATTCAGTAATTAATAATAATTAATAATACCTCAATTTTAGGCTAATAGCTGGTTTCCCTTCTTTACCAAATATGGGAAGATCGCTCCCTAGTAACATCCTAATGTCATTAACTGTCCACTCAACATTTAAATGAAATGGCTGCGGCAACTAGAGAGAGAGAGAGAGGGAGAGAAAGAGAGGAAGAGAGAGAGAGAGATAGGGGGGGGGGGAAGGATACAGGAACAGGATTTAAATTGACCACTCACCGGGTCTGGTGGTACACATGGAAATATATCTGAGAGTTCTTCATCAATATTTGGTGCAGCTCCTTTAACTGGGTCCGGTAATGTTAGCAAGTGTTCTGGGGCAGGTAAAATTGGAAGAGACTCACTATCATCATCAGGAGTGCTAGAGAGAGAGAGGGTTATGATAGAGTAGTATAGAGTGATACACATTACCTATAGTACAGGAGCTTCGAGTACATGCTTCTGTGTCTAACTGAGACTGGATCTTTCTTAACTAATGGCACCTACAACAAACAAGCAAGTTTATGTAAAAAAATTCATTGCACACTTTGAGGTAAAAAAATTATGAAATCATCAGTGAGAATTGTCACTCATTTCAAGGTGAAAATCATAAAATTTTTTAGGTGAAAATTGTCGGGTAAAATTTAGGTGAGAGTTGTCACTCACTTTGAGGTGAAAATTATCAAATAAAAGCCAAAAATTATCAAGGAGAAAATAATTACTAAATTTTACATAAAAATCGCCATCCACTTTGAGGTAAAAATTACCAAAATTTTAGGCGACAATTTTCATCCAATTCAATTTCCCTCCCACCCACACACAATAATTACCTTTGGCAATTCACCAACAGATGACAATTTCTCAAACTCCTGTGAATTATATATTAGTGAAAGCCACACCCAAAACACACCCCCTTACTCTTAATGAGGTATCAGTGTATAATTCATCAATTAATAAAGTCCGTCCAATTCTATGAACTGACATGGAGACATTGGACTTACTATAAATAAAGAATTAATTAATTAATTAGTGGGTGTGGTCAATACTTGTAAGGCATTGTTAGCAATTTCTTGACACTTTTCGTATCGGCAATAACATCAACAACTCCACCCACCAAATGAGAATAATGTGACGCTAATATTATACTATTATAAATAAATATATAAATTGATTAATTAATGAAATAAATAAATAAATAGATACCTAGATGGGTTAACATGACTTGTGTTTCTGTCTGACGTTTTATTAAACTGAGAGAATAGTGTCTTATAAAAGTATCGTCCTGCACCAGACCCCCTCAACCAGTTGGGGGGTGCTAAATTAAGATCAACATTCTAGGTTAAAATTAAAAAATGGTGAGAAATGTACATGTACATGGTACCTGTTTTACAGGTGACAAAAGAGGGAGGGGCTCCAGTATTACAATACGGCGGCTACCAAAGCCTCCTTTATCTGATACACCCACTATCTCCCTTCCTCTCTCTTCCTCTTCTTCGTTAACAGCAAGATATGAGCAGTGTGAATCTTCTGGAAGAGCAGCCATATTAAATTAGTGGGAGGGGACGAGGGGTCTTATGGCTACCCACGTGTATTCACGTGGCCATGGTGAGGTGTGAAGCAAACGTCACTGTGACGTCATTGTGTTGGCTCAATTAATTATGTACATGTCATCACACACTTTGCACTTAGATATGTCAACAAGGAAAATGATGCTAACCTTTACTCTGGAAGATGAGATAAATTGTACACATTTCTTTTGCCTCCACTCTTATTCATTCTTTCAATCATGGATGCTGCTGCTTTTAAAGATCCAGAACCTCCTTCATACACTGAAGCGCAGTCCTGTCCCTCTGTCCAACCAATCATTGAACTAAAACCAGACTCAGAATGGACTTCACCTCCTTTAATAACTGCTACTGCTCCTCCAATGCCCATTGCTCCTTCAATGCCTACTACTCTTCCTATGCCTACTGTTCCTCCTCTATCTCCTGCTCCTCCTATGGCTCCTGGTCAAATACCAGTAGATCTAAATATGCTGGTTACCCCTGAGCAACTAGATGTATTATTCCATGTTGCCAGATAGCAGATTTCGATGCTTCAGAGACAGGTTTGTTTACAACAGGCTCTTACCTATTTATACATGTACTTTTCCACCTCCAGCAACAACAACAATTACAAGAAGAAGCTATGGGGACCTCGATGGGGACAATTCTTCATTTAATTATTGTGATTATTATAACAGTGATTTGTGCTCTTTTTAATATCACTTCGCTAATATCGGTTGGCATTCCAGCTATTATATGTTCTTCGATGGTATGGCTCACTATTATTATTATCTATCTCAGTTTTTTTCTCTCTTCTCATTCGATAGGCATACAGGAACAAGAAGAAAGAAAAGTATGCAACTGCTAAGAAACTTGGGTACATGGCTTATTTTCTCAGTTTGTTTAATATAATATTCACTGCCATATTTGCTATAATGGCTATAATTGCCACTTCATTCTCATTTATGTCCTGACACAGTATTTGGCCTGCTTATAAATTATTTTTTAAATATAAATGTTTGTAATAAAATGTCATTAATAGAAAGGAGTTTCAATATGAACATCACCTCCACAGCCAAAGTCATCAGCTTCAAGAACATTGAATATGTAATATGCTGCAGTAACATATGTTACTACTAAAATTCCCCAGCCAAGCATCCACAGTAAAACAACAACGTCCAGTATAAGTGCTGCTTTACCAAATGTTTTTGCTGAACGATGAAATTGAATACCTTGTCTTTTTTTCATCCACGACTACATCAAAATAATAAAAATCAACTAATGATTATGTAAGCTAATCTTACAAGCGTTGCACAGATTATTGCCGGAATAGTAAAAAGGAGAGTTGAAACACTGACGACGCCACATGCTATTGTAATGACAAATGTTGGAAGAAAGAAATCATTTGGAATGAACTCCTGCGGAACTTGAAGGCTTGGTACATAATTTAGAAACTGTGACTATACAAATGGTAAAAACTATAGATATCTCAGTATTAGGTTATTATTATCTACTTGTTGCTGTTGAGTTAATGGTACAGTAACTAATCTTGAAGGCGGATCATCACTCTTGATCATCCTTTCCTTCTCATCTAGTTCAGGAACAGAACTCATCTTCCTGGGACTCAGCGAGTTTTGAGCAAGTGCCAAGTAACGTAGTCTATGATCCAAACTTTGCTTAGTCACAGTGTCACTAACAAACGAGCTAACAAATCAATTAATTTCATGAACATAATTAGATAAATAAGATCATGTGACTACTCTCTAGTCTTGTGACGTCTTGTGTTACAGTCAACATTATCTTGTTCAATCTGAAGTAAAATGGAAAGTGAGGGATCCACTACAGAATGTATTCCTGAAGAAGATACTGCTAAACTAACATTGGATCCACCTCCAGCTTATGCCCCACCTCCAGACTCATCTTCACAGGCAGTCCAGTATTTCTCTCAAGAGCAAGCTGCAGTTATAATTCCATCACAGACTCAAGTAGATAATAAGAGAGCTGTTCCATTATACTGTACATTGTTCATTCATAGATTCCACAGTATGTACTTCCTGATGATTACTTGATACTTGTATCAATCCTGACTTTACTATGTGTAATAGTCAACGTCACTTCACTCATATTTGGAATACCAGCTCTATATCTCTCTTGGCAGGTAAGATTTAATTTAATTTAATTTAATTTAATAATAATTTTACAAGATGAACAGAAGGATGAGTACAGGAGAAAGGGATAGACGAGGGAAAAAAAGACATCTTGATGGGATAACCGCAAGAGCTGCGGATACCCAGAGATAAATAATAAAATTAGTTATGATACATTGTATTACTGTTAAGATTGGTGTGTGTGGATGCAAGTATAAAAAAAAGAAAATTAGAATAATAGAATAACAAGATCAATGAGAAATAATGAGAAATAATACATTTTAAAAATAATAAAAAAATACATGTATGTTTCTAAATTGAGTGTTTAATTCTATTACCACAGGCATATGTTGGTAAGAGGGAAGGTTTATATGCAAAGACTAAGAGAAACGGCTACATATCTGCTATCTTGAGTCTCCTCAATTTGCTCTACACTGGATGCGTCACTATATTATTCATTGGACTGTTTATTGGATTTCGTTGTGGTTATGGGGTTTAGGTTATTAATTCTCATTTTTATTTTTACTACATTCCATCATGATAAGCCTGATTTCATTTATATAATTACTATGAATTTATTGATATAATTACAACATAGATATTGATGATCAATAAATCCTCGAGCCCCACCCTCCGTAAATGGGAGGAGCTTATAATAATCTTTGGGCCCGCCCATTAGCACATGGCGATATGATAGTAGCCTCACGTCTACATCTTTCGAAAAGGTATCTGTGTTGTATTTTAACTTTATTTGAGATATTTAGATATGTATGCACGACGTGTGCTTTACTACAAAGACAAAGTAAGTGGAAACATTGTATAGCCTGTAATTATGACTCATATCTAGCTGAACCACCCGAGGCTGAACCACAGATCCCCCTAGTACCAAAGAAAAGGTATGCCCTCATATGGTGTCATTGATGTTACCATTTTTAATTCAGAGACCCCAATGCAGTACTAAAGGCACTAGCGTCCACTGTAACACCAGTTAGTATCAATCTTTTACCAATTCACACTCACTCTTGTATGATCCCTAGCTTAAACAACCTTTTATATTGGGACGAACTCCAGCTGATCCTTTGGCTCCCTCTAGTAGGAAACAGTTGGTGAGTGTGGTTTGTAGGTGGTGCTAGTGTAAATGTGATTTTGAAACAGGTGGAGTTCATCATGGCAAGAGAGGCTGGGAAAATGGCGGCAATGGATATTATTAATTCTAATCCAAAAGTTTTTGATGCTTATAAACCTTTTCCGGTAACTATGTATACGTACATATAATGTACGCATATGTACTGATTTATTGATTTTTATTTTAGGATTTAATGACTGGAGGGAAGAGTGAGACTAAAACAGGACAAGACAAATTAAAAGGTATCACTGCTAAAAAAATACTGTTTTAATATCTTTCTTTTTTTTGATTGTCTCTCCTTCCTCTCTTTCTATTCTCTAGTCTTAATCAAGAAGAATGACGTGAGAGCTCTTGATGTATACAACTCTTTGAAAAAAGGAGGTACTTTCGAAGCAACATTTAATTCAAAATATATTTTCCTTTTAAGGTGAAAGCATTGACCTAGAAACAGAGAACTCATTGCTAGCATTATTGGCATATAATGGACAGGGGAATACAATTATTGAAGGAGGAGACAGTCCCTCAGGTAAATAAAGACTTAACACTGACTACGGTATGTTAGAAGCAAGTGTGAATAGAGGAGAATATGGTAACGGTAGAGAATGAAGGAGCAGCTGAAAGTGATCCTATGAGAAGAAGTTAGTTGTATCTGGTAATATTAAATGAATTATTTCTCTTGTGTATTATGTAGAAAAAAAGAGCACCTTTCCTTCTGTGCCTCGTAGTGTTTGGAGGTAAGGTTCCAGCTGCTGATTTATAGAACTGTGATCCACATTCTTTTGCAGTGTTGATAATAGTGCTACCAAGTTCTTTAACGAGATGAAGCAGAAAGATGGGGGCTCCTATGGTGCTATGATACAGGGCCTTGTGAAGGTAGGCTGGGGTCTGGTGGTTGTGAAAGGGATATGGGGTAGTAATACTAAGATTTTGACTGTAATAATAATATTTGTTAGTAAAGTAGTGATGTTATTTAATTTTGGGTTGGTGTTAATTGCTAAATTTTATTAATTGAAAGCCTGGTTCAGATTGCTGTCACACCTGATTAGACCAGGAATATGAACTCCTATGCTTATCTTGATCAGAGGACTCCTTTGGTACCCCACTAGCATGCCTCTAAACCTTGTCTAAGAGGAAAGTCAAAAATCAGCATATAGCTTGGCAGCATGCAGTCTAAAATTGATGGTTTTTGCCTCAAAATTACCTAAATATGATATTGGCAGTCTCTTAATTTGGCGAATTATTATCTTGTCTTTTCTTCTTTAAGCACTGTCGGCTTTTCTAGCTGCTCCTTAGCCTCCTTGTCCATAATCTTGACTGGAATACTTTAAAGGCGTCATTTTCTATGAGTATCACGTACTTATCTGCCCATTGCAAATTTCATGAAATTTAAAATTATTATTGACAGTTACATGTGTATTATTGGCGGTTTTATTTTTGAAGCGCCAATTCGCCAAATTTTCTGGCTGTACGATAACTTGCCACTCATTATTGTGGTTATAGAGGTAGTCTTGATCCTGTATAAGTAGACTATGTGCTTTTGTTGTTTAGCTTTTTCAGACTCCAAATTAAAAAAATAGTGGTTAATGCAAAAATGCTAAATAACTGCTAACATTAATAGGTTCAGAGTACACGACTATATATGGGTTATGCTAATAGTTGTATCCTGTATATACTGTAAGAGCTACCATCATTGTTTTATCTCCAAAAAATTGCAGTGTCTTGCTATGAACACCAGTACTGAACCACAGGCTGTTTTTCCTATCCTTAATTCGGTTTTACATGTTTTAATCTTTGCAGCAATCGGAATCTCTCAGCTCACAATAAGTGGTGTGTCCATACTGGCACTGCTAACTGCTAAAGATGTCAACTTGAAGATGAAAGCGATTCTCATTAATATCCTAGCCCCAGAAATAATTTACTTTCTATCCGGAGTTTTCTATAACTTGGGCTTTCCTGTACGTGTTTATTTAATTGAAGGAAATAGTACTGATGCTCTTGATGTGTCCTGCCTGATATTCCTTTTACTTTATGCAATAGCTTTCCTTGGGAATGAATTTGGAGGATCACTCTTTTTTGTGTCGGTATACATTTTCACTAAGTATGGTGTAAAAAAGTTAAAGTGGATCGGTATTGTAAGTTACATGGCAACCACCTGGGGCATTAACATTGTATATAATGTTGCTTTAGTCTCTTCAGGTTTTCTCAGAGCAACATCTGGAAATGGTTTTTGCACAATCCAGCTTAATCCATTCATTATTACTAGCTACATTATTCAATTCCTAATTCTTTTGTTCAACATTGTTTTAGTCACAATTTTTAGTGCTTGCAACTTTTTATTTGTCAAAAATAATCAAATTGCAACTGAAAACTCAGATGGACCTGACCCTCTCAAGAAAGCTATGACAAATATCATGAGAGTTTATGCTGTTCGGGAAATTAGTACACTCGTTCAGGCTGCTATAAGTGTTACTGTTTTTGGTAATTTTAATAACTTAGCAAGAATCTTTCGGTACTTGTTGCACTATGGTTTATTAGTCATAAATTCTCTGACAATACTACTTGTTCCTATTTCAATAGCAGTCTTTGTAAAACCAGTCAATGATCGCCTGAAGCAAATCTTCAACTCATTGTGTCGAATATGCTCAATCTCCCAGCAAAATGAAGAATGAAACTTCAAACACATCCTTCAAAAATGACTATACAAACTATTATTTACAATAATTGTGTTGTGTTTAAAAATTGTGTTTAAAAATTGTGTTTTGTGTTGTGAAATGTTTGTGTTAGACTTTTTGACCAAAGATGATTTTACAGCAATTAATGCTATAGGGCTTCATTTTGCAAGTTGCAAGTTATTTTGTGTATAAAAATTAGCAAGTGTAATTTTATGCTCTTTCATGGCTCTGCCTGGTTGGGGGTTAATGTTTGGAGCAACTACCTTAACAAATGCATGAGCCATCACTTAGACCAACCATGCATTAATATTGATAACCCATGCAAACAATATTAATAACCATGCATAAAGCATGATGTTCTAGTGTCAGGAGTACTCTTGCTAGCATGCAATAAACTAAGTTAAGCCCTTAGAGATTAAATTTTTGTTTTCAAAATTTGCAAAGTTAGCAAGTTGTAATTTCCTGCCACAAAGAATCTAGCTATACTGTATTATCTATCGTTACTTTTAATATAATTGATCCCATTTCTGTTCTTTAGTTTAAGGATTTTGGGAAAGCACTAAGTATGTATAATGAAGCAAGAGAGAAAGCACTACAAAGTGAGTCTAAAGATTTAATTGTTGGGGTGGGCCTACATGCATAAGTCCACCTTTGCAAGCAGATAAAGTGTTGCAGCCTTTTCACTCTGTGGAGTAATGAGCCATTAAGATGAGAACACTCCTGATCGTCTTATTGTTCAATTTGCTCTGCGTTATAGTTTCGTATTTTTTATAAAAATCCCAATTGCATTCTGTTCAGGCTTAAGCCTCAATTGCAATCATGTATTGAGCCTCTCATTACAATTAGAAACGTAATTGACCCCAAGTCTGGTTTTACGGTCTTCCCGTTACATGTATTATTAATTTTTCTTATCTCAGTGGGTGTGTCTACCTATAACGATGTACTGCAATGTATTATAAGTGACTGGGACATAGAAGATCACTGGGGAAAAACTGAAGTATGATATTAATTCATTATTTAAAAGCTGTATCTTATACTATTACAAGTCTGTACTGTCTGAGATGTCAAATGGCCCAAGTCCTGTCCAGCCAAATATCAGTAAGATATGAAGAATTCCTTTGTAGTTAAAATTGTCATTTTGTCCTAGCAACATGTAATCTGTTATTAAAGGTGGCTAGTAAAACAGGAGGCAGCTCTAGGTCTCTTTCCATGGAGATAATGAGAGAGTTGTTTCACCTTGGACTTAGTGAGCAAGGCTAATTTTCTTTCAAATGATCTTTATAACTTTATCTCCCCCCCTAGAGCCCACCCTTACAACATTATTACAGCTTTTGAAGAACTTTGTGGCAAGAAGTAACAATCCCTTGCCCATTTTCTAATTTAGTATTTTTCTCTCTTTTGTACGTGTGTTTCCTCAAAGATGATTGCACTGTTTTACCCGACATAACGGAATATATTGAAAATAATCAAGACATATTGGATATTCAGGATCCAGTGGACAGTATGTTTCCATTCTCATCTCATTCCTAATTCTCTTTCTCTACTTCTCTAGTGCAATTCTTTACTGCAGCAATGAGTGCTGTAAGTCCTTTTGTTCATTTACATCAAAATTGGATTCGTGTTTCATATTTTTGTGTAGGCCAGGATGTTGCGTGATGCTGATGTTGCCATTAGACTAAAGAACCTTGCCAATAGAGACCACTGGTTTCTTGTAGACCATCCACCATTTTTCTTGTAAGTTGTCAAGTTTAATATTTTCAGCTGAAGTAATTCACTATCTGTTTTTTTTAGTAACAACTATTTTGCCACGATTGCATCCTGCTCTCGGTTGTCTTTATTGAAAGATGAGTTTGACGCCATAGTACCATCAGTAAGAGAGAAAGAGAGAGACTATACATGTAAAAGTACAGTTGGGCATTTTCCTCAACCTTATACATGTACTGTGTTGTTCTGCCATTTTGTCTGGACATCATTGATAAGAAGTTAACTCAGAGTTTGAAGTTGCTCAAAATTGGGCCAACGACAAAATTTTGTCAAAAATGGCTAGAAGAGGATTCTCCATTTTAATAATTTTTCTGATACATACTGTATTTTGGTTTATTTTCACGGTAAAATATTTTTGTGAATTTCGCGGTTTCTTGCTCCACCGCAAAAAAATTCTGAATCTCCATTGCCACGTGGTACAGTCTGGAAGCTATTTGCAAAAATTAATTCTGCAAAATCTTAGAATTGCAAGATTTACAGAAATTTTCTACATTAAATTTTGTCTAGTACTAATGAAGTTATACATACTTGTGTGTGTATCATATCTTGTGGTTTTGTAATGAATATTATTAGGACAACCCACGATTGCCTTGTCAAGTTTTATGCCTTTATAAGCTGATTAGACTTCCAATAGTATTGCTATACAGTATTCATTGTAAATCTTAAAAATTTTTGAATGGGAGAGTGTATTTAATACACAAACCCTGACACGTGTCCTGTTTCAATATGATATTTAGATCACACCTATGGATTCACAATTTCACACCTTATTATTGACTGTTTTCATCGATGTTTTCATACATGTGTATCAGAGTTGTGTCAATTACATTATCAATGGGCTTAAGCACAAGCCCAAGCCCAAGCCCTTTATTAAACAGGCAATTACAAGCCCAAGCCCAAAAAATTTTTTTGGGCTCAATTACAAGCTCAAGCTCTTTATCAAATGTATTTAATTCCTTTACAAGCCTTTCACTTAAATAATTAATAAATTGCAGTTACATGTAGTTTTGCGGCCATTTTCAGTTTTAGTAATGCGCTCATGAATGAGGTGCAGGCTACTTTAATTGTCCACACATACACATACTATTGTGTAAATTACTGATAGCGAGGGGATCACTACAGATGAAAAAACACCTGGGCTTTAAGGCTTCAAGCCCACGCCCAGGATTATAATTAAGTACAAGCCCAAGCCCAAGCTCTTTTTTTATAAAAGGCTTTAAAGCACTTTCAATTACTTCAAAATCTGGGCTTAAGCCCAAAAGGGCTTGACACATCTCTGATGTGTATCCACCTGTGCGTATTATACGTCATTGACTTTTTAAAACTTTTGTATTAATATTATTTAACCTTAATAAGTGGGAACATATTGATCCAAATTTCTTCAAAATTTTGATACCCGTACAAATTGATACCATAAAATATTGTCTGTATTGATAAAATATTGATATATCGCCCACCATTAAAAAAAATTGGGTCAACAATCAAAGACCTTTGACCTTTGGTCAGACCAAATGTCATCAAAAATGGCTCTGAGAGAGTTCTCAGTTTTTATAATTTTTTCTGATACATAATGCATGCATTTACTTGTATGTACGTTGTGTGCAATGAGTAGAAATTTCGAACTAATTCCATTCAAAATTGTATTTGATTTTAAAGTTACTTTAAGTGCCATCTACTGTATTGTACATGTATAGTGCTTGTCAGCTCATGAAGCTCATGCTGTTTAGCTTACTTAGCATGCTTTGTGGGCAACCCTGAGTTAACTACAGGGGCTTAATCATTAAGAACATGCACTCTCAGATCAGTTAAAACATTTTATTCTGGCTGTGTATTACTGTATAGATATACATCCCACAGAGCTGGCTCTACACTATCATCTTTAAACATTGTCAAATGTTTAATGCTCCTGACGTAGGCCTGTTTTTTTGGAAAAGTAATAAAGCTTACACTGGTCTTTATACATATATTCTCTTTCAACAGATTTAATGAAATGTAAAATTAGATTTAATGATCCAATGGTATTGGTAAGGGCTGTTGGTGCTTTCTCCATGAACACTGACCCAGAGGTACATTTATAGTCACTTTATTTGTGTGTTATACATTGCTATGATGAACAAAAGTTAGGGGTTTTGTAGCTATTTTTTGTAAATATTATTTGCTCAAATTTGATACTAATGGTAATCATGGTACATATATTGTCTGTATTATTATTAGCAATGTAGTGAGTATCTAGAGGCAATTGATCAAGTGTGGAAGAAGCTAATGTTTTTGCAGGAACCGTGAGCTATACTTTAGCATCATTCATTATGGTTATTATAATTTTAGTCCAAGTCAGTTTATGATCACTGTAACGATTAAACTTCACCTCTTGTGTGGAGGAATATCAGAAGCATGGTTAGTTTGCAAACTTTAAATTTTGTTTTTTTACATGTGCAATACAATGTGTAGGAAGCATTTTGAAACGTTTGAAAAATATAAGATCACCCCATCGTAAGTTGATGATAGCAAAACCCTATTTGTTATCATGCTTTACGCAATTATTATCATCTGTATTAGATATCTTGCGCTGTCTGGTCTTTTAAATGCTCATGCTGAAGCTTCAGATACACCACAAACTTTGGTAATTACAATATTCCTGGAATATTTCATTCTGGGAAATTTTGTGCTTTGGAAATCTTCATATGCAAGAATATGCTTGCCACGCATGATGTGTGCGAATTTAATTTAGTGTTTACAAATTGAAATATTCCCTGAATGTGGTAGCTGATTTTATTAATCATCACTTTTTTAAATAGAAACTGCTGGACATGCTCATTGAATATGGATACTTCTTACCACCTAATGTTATGCAAAATATATTTGCAAAGGTGGATATATCTATTGAAAATAAGTAAGAAAATCAGGGTTAAACCCAAATTAATCAGAACACAACATGAATATATGTAGTAATGATTCACATATAGCTCTACCCAACTAAGCTTTAGTACTGTGATCAAGTAGTGCAACTATGTGTCATAATTATGCATGTACTTTCTTATGGGTTACTGCACGAGATGTTGCAACCAGAAGTACAGATTGCAGAACAAGTGGCAATGCGTGATATTAATGCATTCATTGATTGAGCTTTGGTTTTTGCTGTACTCCTGGATCATTTCCTGTACTGACAAAAGAAGAGGACCTAGTTAACAGTACAGCCATTATTAGATGCGCAATTAATTTTTGTTAGATTCAACAAATTGATATATTTGAGGTTACATGTATAAAGTAAAAAATGAGTGCTCGGGTGAATGACACAAATGAACTTTAGTGCTTGTTCTGTAGGTCGAGGATCATGAGGTCTTTCAAGCAAAATGCTTCCCAAATGAAGCAGGAGTATCAATCAAACACAGAGCTAGAGGCTCATGATGATACTAAAGGTGAAGATAACAAGAAAAGTGAACCAACGACAAATGAAATAGTATAGATTAATAACTCGTAAAAATAATGACTACATTTTCTTGTCCTATAGTAATTTGAATTATTTATTCATGTAGATCCATAGATCTAATTATATTCCAATAATGCCTCTTCCTGCCCTCTGAGGCTGAGCTGTACAATTATATATAGATCTAAGTGGCGTTGATCAGTTTAGGAGACAAGTGTGAGCTCCAGTGTGGTTCAGGATATATTTAGCCAAATTTTGCTAAAAATGGCTTGGGAGAAAATTTTTCATATACATGTACTTATGTTGTGTACAAATTTTGAGCTGATTCCAATCAAAACTGGATTTTTACAAATTTTTACAGTTGCTTCAAATTAACAAATCTTCACAAACAGAAGTGTTGTATCAATAGTTATTATAATTGTGTTTTTTCTACTGAAATAGTTTGTTATCAAGATCAAAAATAAAATACTCTTTATTTAAAATAAATATATAACTAAGCGTTACTATTTTTTATAAAATGGATCTTGTAGAAACTTGAAAATGGACTCATAAGCAAACCACGAAGTTTCTGGATGTTTTGGTGTACCTGCAACAAAAGTATTACAGCAGAGTGAACAGTGATCTTTATACTTCAAGGGAACATCATTATACTGATCATCCATTCAATGTTATGTAAAAACTAGAGCTTCGAATAATCAAATGATGATTGTGTAGTACCGTATAGCTGGAAAAGTTTGCAGGAATTATATTTTACGATTTTGTACCCATATAGCTAATTTTAATGTTTGTGGAATTTAATTTTGCTGGTGTAGGCGTGTACAGTTGATACACCCATTACTTCATAGATATTAGAGTAAATGAAAGGGATTGGAAACGGAAGCGTGGGCGTAGCCCAACCTCCATTCATTTGTATTGCTGCTGCTGACAGAGGCTCATTGAAATTTTTTTGTCACAATTTACCCTTGATTTTCTTTCTTTTAGGAGCAATATCTCGCAAACAAGTGTTCCTATGCAAGTGAAATTAATCCATCAAGAAGCCTAATGTTTCCTCTTTATAATTCTGTTTTCTATTGTATAGATAATTTTACCATGTTAATGTTATGGCACTTTTAAAACCATAAAATGTATTTTTCGTCATTATAATCCCTTTTTTGAAAACAAGCTAGAGTAAAATGCAATATCTTTATAATCATATGAAAGAGTTTCCATTTGCATATCGAATGATACTAGTTAAGGTTAGAATTCATGAAACATGAGTTTGTTACTACAGAAAAAGGGCGAAAAATGAAAAAATTTTGTTGTACCTATAACTCATTGCAAAATAACGTTGTAGAAGTAAAAACCTTGCTGCAGGTAGTCCAACACTTTCTATATGGAACGGTAGGTATATAAGTAAGCGTCCTCTTGGATCTCCATAAATATCCTTCGAAGTCCTTGCAGTACAGCCTCACTAATGGAGGAGATGGGAAATCAACCAGGTATTGGGCCGGTAACCAATAGCAACATCAACCAGCCTACTCCCCCGTTTCCAATCCCTGTGTACTATAATATCTATGATTACTTATAATGCTTTGCGGAATTAAATTGTGCGTTTTTATGATGGACAGCAAAATTAAATTCCAGCAAATATTTCCAGCTATACGGTATGTGTACACATACATGACCATTATGCACAATATTCCCAATAACTAATGATGTACATGTCTAACTTTTAAGTACAAAAACCTAATGTTCAAGTAACTAATTAATAGTAAAAACCTCATCTGAATTCTATAGGAGAATAATAATATTAGACAAATTAACCTGCTGAGACTCTCTGCACCTCACTTCTACCGTATTTTTGAGGTGTATCCAAAGGATCATTACTACTAACCCAGTTGACTGCAACCTATTATAGACAGCATAGGATCATAATAGGATGATAAGTATCAGTCATTCCTTACTCTAGTGAAGTATCGTCGAACATCACCTGGTGCTTTCTGAGTGTCCAAGTCATGAACAGAATCTGTGAAGGCTATCTTTTGAACTCGTTTACTGAAGTCATCAGAAAATTTCTTTGCCTATTAAAGAATCATGGCTGAAGTATATATTACTGAACAGTGATGAAATGAACCAACTAATTCAACTGTGACAATTCCTCCATAACTGTGTGCTATTATATGGATAACTTCTGCTTTAGTTTTGCGGGCAATAAAATTCTCCCACACATATAGCCCATGTTCAACTGGACTGGAACTACCCTAAAATATGAAAAAAATCTCATTCATTAATACAATAATTAATCTCAATTATTTTATTTATTAATGTAATCTCCGTATTCTCAAGTTTACAATTAATATTTCCGTAATTTCTCGTAAACTAAGATCTAACATCGTTACCACATTCTTCAGTTCTTCTATCTTCACTGGGCTTAGTTTTCAAATCGTTTTCGTTTCATAGTAACTGGCTACAAAGAAACTATTTCTATACTCTCTCTTTCCTTTAGCTTTTCTTAACATTTCTTCGTATTCTTCTTTCAGTTTCCCTTGCTTCGAGAGACCACAGTCAAAAGATTTCTGTCAAGATGGCGGATGCTAGCCCCAAAGACTTGGAAATAGTGGAAGTAGTGGAGCTGATCGAGGAAGATAAGGAAATCCTTACAAACGGGGAAGAGACAGAACAAATATTGCCTGAGCTAACTGTAGAAGACACAGCGGAGGATACTAATGACCCAACGCCTGAAAGCCAACCAGAAGACAGTCAGTCAAGCGACAGGGAGGTGAATGAAAATGGGGAAGAGAACAATAATGAGGAGGGAGATAGCAATAAGGGGGATGATAATACAGGGGCCAGTACTAGTAACGGTAATAATAAAAAGCCTGATGACTGTGAACTCAGTGAAGTTGATTTCACTGTTGGAAAGTCTGACACTAGTTCTACTGATGCCAAGTCGATTCGTTCGCGAGTTTTCATTGGCCACTTAAACACTAGCAGAGCTTCACGTCAAGATTTACTTAAGCTTTTCGGTGAGTGCGGTAAAGTGGTGGCTATATCAATTCTTGATGGCTACGGGTTTGTTCAGTTTGACAGTGAAGAGAGTGCACGAAAATCAATTAGAAAAATACACGGGAAGTCATTGCACGGCATGAAATTAGGTCAGTAATGTAAACAAATAACACTAAAGGTGGCTTTATAATTATTATGCCTCAATTATTAATCAAAAGTGTGGGCAACTGAACCTTTCCATGCATGCATTTTTAAAAGCTAGAGTTGAATCAAATTCAACTCTAGCATAAAAGTAACATCAGAACTAGCATAATAATGTAAATCCACCTTTTTATCATATCTATGTCTCTGGTCTCCTGACTCTTATCTCAAATTATCATTTTTTCTATCAGTTACTATTATCATTCATATCTTTTTCTATGTACACTCTAGTGGTAGACAAGCCAGCAGCATGGAAGAAGCTTGAGGGAGGTATGTTACAGCATGAGAAATATGAAAGGAGAGAAAGAGAGAGGGACAAGATCAGACAAGAAATTAATCTTTAACTGTGTTGTCTTAATTATTTAGAAAAACTTGACGAAACCAGGCCATGGCCTTCAAGATCAAGTCGCGACGATGATGATCGTCACCATCGTCATCGCCACCACCGCAGCGAGAGGAGCGAAAGGAGACGAGACCGCGAACGAAGGAGAGACAGTGACTCCCATCGTCACCACAGTCACCATAGTCGCTACTATGATGACATACCACCGCGCTACCACGATCCTTACTACGAACGATATTTAGAGATAAGGTACATGGAGGAAAGACTCGCTGAAAGATATCGTGCCTCTGAAGCCGATCGCTATTATGAAAGATACCCTCCACCTTCTGGTAGATACCCTCCCCCTCCTCCTTCAGAGTATTATAGACAAGAAGGAGCTTATAGGACAGGAGGGGATTATAGAGAGCAGGCAAGAGGAACTGGTGCTGGGTATTACCCTGAATATGAACAGTCCTTAATGTCGCATTATGATAGACCAAGAGATGATGAATATGATAGACGCAGGCCATTTGATAGCTACTACCATTAATCAGGCTTCTTCTTCAATATTGTATTAATTAAAGGTTTTTTTCTCTAAACTCTCTCTTAAGCTTTCAACTAATGTTGCTGGACTCACATTCAACATTTCATTCTAATAATAATTGTTTCGTTTAAGGCTTCTTTTCTTATACATACGTACCTAAGCTTCATTTGTTTCATGTTTCGTGTAATGATAACATAGCCTGAATTTTTTTGTTTCGTGTAAAATGAAATTTAAAAATGTCGTGAAAATGTAAGAAAAAAAGCTTTTTTGTCTTACCCTAATTTCACGTTTCTTTTCATCGTCATCTTCATGGTTTCTGTTTCCATTGAACACAATAATGCCATACCCTTCCTAAGTGAGAGAGAGAGAAAGGGAGTGAGAGCATGTTAATTCATTCAAGGTAAGTTGAGAGGTAGGTAAAACTCACATCAGCTGCTCTTTTGATAAAAGGCAGTTGTGTACCACTGTTCAAACAGTCATTGATAATTAAACTATAAGGGAATGAAGGATATGAAACTACACAAGTTTTAGGTAAAGCTCCTGTGATGCAACAAGGGCTTGCATAATGAAAGGACAATCAACTTTTATTACAGTTAATTTGTACTGTTTTTATTTGGTTGATATTAATTAGTTTTTAATGTTATAAAATGGTTAAAAATTATATTGAAATAAATTAATCTTTAATCCCTGTATTACATTAAAGAAGTTGTGACAAATTTTACAAATCAGCACATCAAATTAAGAAAGAAGCACACTTGGCTGACCATACTCATAATACAACTGCCTAATAGCAGGAGTCCATCCTCCCAATAGTAATATCATACCTTCGAGACCATTGACCAGCTCTCACTACTCCACTTCCATGTATTATTACCATCAGTTTCTCTTCATTGGTGAATGCATCATGTGATGCAAAGATAAACGAAAATGGCTCTTTTGGTTTCCTGTCAACCTATCAAATAAAACTGTAAATTCTAAATGCAAAGGGGATGTTATAGTCATAACAATTATTATGAAAATGTGTCTATTATGATGCTACACCTGAATTTACTGTATTGTCATAGATGCATCAAATGGTCAACTCAACCACACTTTTACAATAAATTTTGAATGTTAAATTGTCCCTACATTGTAAATTAAACTTTAGTGGTAACGTGTATAAACGTACATTGTACAAATACATATTATGCTTAATTTAGTAGTTCTTTTCCCAAGCTCCAAAAATGAAAATTAAACTCACAAAAGTACAGAAACATACAAAGTAGGTCAGCAGTGTCCTTTACATGTACATGTATGTACAGCTGTACAGTACATTATGGCTTTTGGAGCAACTTTAAAAATTTGTAAAAAATTCAATTTTGATTGGAATCAGCTTAAACTTGCTACACAACATAAGAACATGTATATGTATCAAAAAAAATTATAAAAATGGAGAATTTTCACTTAGACATTTTTGGTGAAATTCGGCCAGAAACACTGTACTATAATACAGGGACTTTAGTCTAATTTTTGAGTAACTTTAAAAATTTGTAAAAAAAATCCAATTTTTAGTAGGATCAGCTCAAACTTGCTACACAAAGTAAAAACATGTATATGTATCAGAAAAAATTATAAAAATTAAAAATTCTTTCCTACTCATTTTTAGCCATAGACCCTGTACTATAGTACAGGGAATTTGGCCCGATTTTTGAGTAATTTAAGAATTTATTAAAAAATCTAATTTTGATTCAAACTTCATATACAACAAGGCACACGTACGTATATGCATTAAAAATTATAAAAATAAAAATTCTTTAATAGCAATCCTTGAAAAAATATCCTGTGTATTATGTGGCATTTTATCTAATTTTTTAAAAGCAATTTTCAAATCCACTGTTAAATCTTGCACGTGCGACTATGCAATATGCCCGTTTCTATCTTTATACAAGTACCGTATAGCTCCAAATTCTTGGTCAAAATTTTCGTCAAATTCATCAGTTATTTTTGCTTGACAAAATTTTTAACCAACAAAATTTTTGTTCCACATGAGTAGTATGTGGATTAATAACAAAAATGACGAAAATTTAATTGACAAAAAAATTTTTAAGAAGAAATTAAGATTTTGACAAAATTTTTGACTGACAAAAACTTGTAGCTATAAGGTACATTACCATCACACTTTGATTGTGCTATGATTGTAGTGTGTATGATGGTCTCAAACTCTCAATACATACACAGTAAGTCTATTAGTAATAGTTCTCTTACTGGTATTAAATGCTTGACTAGATGTGCTTTATCAATCAGTAAATCATAAACCATTGGTGTAATTACCTATACAATAAATTAACACATTAATAATACATGTACCGTACATTAATACACTATAGGCTAACTTCTCCTAATGCCTCATAGTGTTTCTGGTTATACTTCTTGTCACCTTTACGTACTTCAAACTTAAACGACTCGCCTGTTTCAATAGACACCATATGTCCATCTATACCACAGTGATACATATTGATTTCACATAATAGTAATTGTGATATTATACCTTGATTAAATTTATAGCCAAATCCAGTTAGATCTTTTGGAAACTCTTCTAAAGACTTTTCCGGCTTGGCTGCAGAAGGACCCTTTTTTTCTGCCGTCACTTTCCCAGTCTTTTTGAGCTTCTCTTTTGTTCCTGCTGGTTTTCCAACTTTTTCTTTTTTGCTGTCATTCGTATCACCTTGTGAAACAGTGTCAGTGGCTCGATCAGTGGGTGTTTCTTTACTCTTCGTATCATCATCACTCTGAACCTTCATACTGCTGGCATCTTTTACCGGTTCATTTTTATGTTCCAAATTTTTATCTTCATTTTCTTTCATAAGACTTCCATTTGATTCATCTAGTTTATTCTTTGGGTCCTCATTTTCTTCTGGTGATGCCAGGATTGCTGGAATTTCTCCAACTTCAGAAGTTTGGCATGACTTTGATTCTAAAATAAAATTTTCTTTGGAGTAGTGGACATCAAGTACAGGCAACTCACTTTCCATGAAACAGTAATTAAAAGAAGTCTCGACTAGTAAGATTAGGTCTATAAAGTAAACAACAAAGATAACAGCATTCATTCATGTAAGATCTATTTAACAGTATTTTTATTTAAACCCCACCCTCGTTCCCTCCCTACTTTACTAGATCTAGCTAGATAGTTTATTTCATTTTGTGAGTTCTGACTTCTAAGACCTGGTGAGGGTGACCTGGGCTGGGGTCCAGAGTACTCGTGGTACACTTATAGAGCTATGGCCACTGGTCAAAATTGTTTAGGTAAGCTTAAGCTAAGCTTTGATGATGATGATGATGATGATGATGATGATGATGATGATGATGATGACAAAATCCGCCATTTTGATTTCCTACATGTACTAGGTGTTGATGATCTTGCTGATGTTCTTGACTTATTGCAGAGATGTGGCTTCCCAGAAACAAAATGGCATCAGCTTGGACTTAAACTAGGACTAAGGAAAAATACACTGGATGCCATAGAAAAGAATCATCCTCATGATGTATCTCGCTGTATGACAGAGTGCCTCTCCCAATGGTTAGGTAGAGCTGATAATGTTGACAGTAGAGGAGGAGCCAACTTGGACTCACTGTCAGATGCTCTACGATCTATGAATGAAACTGCTGTAGCTGAGAAGTTAAGTGAGTCAATCATAACTTACAATGTATGTAATTATAATCATTGCATTTTATCATAGAACATCATGCTCTTATTAATATTTTTAATAATCGTCATACTGTCCTGTCTCAGTCTCTTTGTGATTCTGTCAGTATTGCTTGGTTACTTTATGCTGAACGTATGTTAACACAAGAAGCAGTTAGTAGAGTGGTGTCAGCTAGTCCCTCTATT